AATATGTTTAAAGTAGCTGTGCCGATAAGATGGATTTCATGGAAAACACATTTATTTGTCTTTAAATATTATTTATGAACTGTTAGAAAGTTTGCTGTTATTATTTTCACCTTTAGTGCATTAGCATATCAATTACCGACCTAAAACGCTTGGTCTACTTACTCGGTTGTATTTTCAAAGTACTTCATGGAAATCCTACGCTTGGTTCAACAGTTTATGTGATTAGTGTTCCACTAAGTTGGTGCACTGAATGTTAAAGGAAATATTTGCAAGCAGTATATGAGATACTCTTTATTTACATTTAGGTTGAATTGTTGTTTATGTGTACACATAGATTAAAACATGCTCAATGTATCCTTTTGTTTACACCTGTTACGAAGATTTGGATACTGATAGATCGTTATTAGCTATGAGAATTCCAGGGATTTTATATTTAGAGCTAAAAGAAACTCTACAGATGCAATTTTTTCATACACTTCCATTATTAATCCACTGCATTAAAATGAGTAAATTTTTATTAGCTTTTATTATTCAGACGCAATTTTATGTGACTGTTTTAATTTTTGTATAAGCGCTTTATTTACTTCCTCTCTGATAACTGTTCATGGAGTTCACTTAGTGTTTTGTGTCAAATATCTTGATACAAGTACGCATTAACATAAACATTTTACCAATGGCTTTCACAGTTTTGCACCTAAATTACTACCATGACGACAAACTAATTAGAAGTATTCACTTTATGTGTCAGCAGAATTTAGTGTCTAGGATGCAAAGCAGAATGACTTTATCTGTCTCATAAATAATTACAGTTGAAGTGAATCACGGGGATAGATTTAAATCAGTTAATGGGACTGCCTTATTATACTGCTAGCTTTTAAAACTAATTGGCATTCATTTGGAGATTTATTATTGTTGGATGTGATGAACACTCATTACATTTTAGTGCAGTTATACAGCTATTCAAAGCAATATTATCGAAGAAAATTTATTTATTGAAGTCATTCTTTCATAACTCTATAGAACAATTCAAAATAATTTTAGAAAACAAGTAAATAACGAAATTAATTAAAACATATATACGTTAGATCTTGTAGTGTTACAAAGCAACACTGTTTTAACATTCTAAACGAGAGCATGAATGTGTCAAATATACAATGTTATGCACCCACAAACAACGCAGACCTTGAAAAGAAAGAAGAATTCTACAGACACCTACAGGTAACAATGGACAATACTCCAGCTGGTGACATTAAAATACTAATGGGAGACATGAACGCCAAACTGGGACCAGACAACACAGGAAGGGAACTCATCATGGGTAGAGAAGCTCTCGGAGAAATGAATGAAAATGGAGAACTCTTCGCCGTTTTCTGCGCCTTCAACGAACTAGTGATTGGTGCCAGCGTATGCAAAAACACAAAGATATCCACAAGGCTACACGGGTGTCACCAGATGGGCAAACCAAAAACCAAATTGACTTCATCTCAATACTGCTCAAGGAAGTGGAGGTGCAGCCTACTGGACACAAAAGTAAGAAGAGGAGCAGACGTTGGCTCAGACCACTGTCTCGTACAAGGGACAATCCAAATCAAATTAAAAGCTTTCAAAGAAACAGGTGATGCAGATAGACCACAAGCCAAGTTCAACAATCAAAACTGAAGGACCAGGATACAAAGGACACCTTCACTGAAAGCATAAAAGACAAAGCCGAGACACAAATCAACACCAGCGAAAAGGTCGGCGTCGAAAAGCACTGGGACAACTTGAAAACGGTGTGGAGTCAAACCTGCATGGAAGTTCTAGGCAGAAAGAAGAGACAGGACAAACAGTGGCTCACTATGGACACTTGGAAACTAATAGAAGAGAGAAGGATAGTGAAACAAAAGATTATCCAGTGCACCGACGAGCAACAAAAACAGGAGCTGAATGCAAGCTACAATACACTGAACAAAACAGTGAAGAAAAGTGCCAGGGAAGACAAAAGAAAATGTTATGAAGCCATGGAAAGTGAAGCAGAACAAGCTGCAGTGCAGGCAAAGGAGACCTCGCCACACTCTACCAAACAACTAGGCACCTATCGGGAAAACGTTCGACACAGATTAGCCAGTAATGGATGACAATGGAAAGTCAATCACCAAAGAGGTGGAGCAAAGAAAACACTGGGCTGAACACTTCAAAAGACTTCTCAATCGACTGCCACCTACAACGCGCACAACAATACCAACAACGGAAGCAGAACCAGCAGTGAACATCGACCACCCGACGAAATCAGAAGTCCTGAATGCAATGAAGATGCTAAAAGCTGGGAAAGCAGCAGGACCAGATGGAATCCCAGAAGAAGCATTGAAAATGGATCCAGAGACAACAGCGGACTTGTTGACACCACTGCTGGAGAAGGTGTGGAAAGAGGCCAAAGTACCCGAGGATTGGAAGAAGGATACTTATTCAAACTCCAAGAAAGGAGACTTAGTCAATGAAAAACTGGCGTGGAATTATGCTCCCTCAAAAAAAACCATCGAAAAAAAAACCTGAAAAAATTAACAGGCTGGATTCAGGAGAGACAAATCATGTACTGATCAAATCGTCACTCTACGGATCATCACTGAAAAAGGCTTCGAATGGCAGTCACCTCTCCACCCCAATCAACTTCATCGACTCTGTAAAGGCCTTCGATAGTGCAGAGTCGATCGAGAGGTGATTTGGCAACTACTTCGCTACTACCAAAGGGGTCCCATCGACAATTATACATCTATAAAACACAACATAATCAAGCAAAGAATATTCTTTTCAATAAATTCCTCCTCTGGCTCTACAATTATATACATGTTTATATACACAGAATATTCTTTGCTCGATTATGTTGTGTTTTATAGATATCTGAATGAATATTTTTGCTAAATTATACATCTCATCAAACAGTTATACGACAACGCTGCATGCCAAGTAATCCACAACGGGAAACTTACGGAATCCTTAGAAGTGACGACGATAGTGAGACAAGGCTGTCTACTATCACCAATGATCTTCCTGACCGCAGTAGATTGGATAATGAGACAGACAAGGGGCAATGAGGAAGCAGGCGTAAAATGGACTCACACAAAATACTTGGAGGATCTGGACTTCACCGATGATATATGTCTGATTTCTCACAAACTGGGAGATATGCAAGTGAAAAGCAACAAGCTGGAAGAAGAAGCATCCAGAGAAGATAGGACTTCAGGTGAACAGAGGTGATGAAGATTCCTAGCCAACATCAACAACAACAACAGACAGCAATCAGCATAAATGGGAGGAACCTGAAAGAAACAACCTCCTTCACCTACCCACCTACCTGGGAAGCACCCTTTCAACTACAGGCCAGCGGAACTGACGAGGATATCAAAACGAGGATCATCGGGAAAGCAAGACAAGCTTTCATTACTCTCAAGTCTGTGTGGAGGTCAACAGCACTCACCATCAAAAATAAGATCCGGATTTTGAACTCCAATGTGAAGTCAGTCAGTGCTACTCACTATACGGATGGATCAGAGACTTGCACTGCGCGTCATAAAGAACACCTCAAACAAACTACAGACCTTCATTAACAGTTGTCTTCGCTCAATACTTAGCTCAAGATCAGATGACTGGCCAGAAAAGATCAGCAACAGGGTGGGATCTCTGTCAATAATGAGCGAACAGCACAACCCAGCTGGAACCGATTGTGAAACAAATATGCAGGAAGAAATGGAGATGGATTGGCTGGCCATACTCTGAGGAAACCATCAAGTGAGTGACATCACTAGACAAGCCATCGCTCGAGTGGAACCAGACCGAAAGGGAAGCGGGCGGCGAGTTGGTCGTCAGTGTGAGGGTGACTTTGAGGAGGTCATGTGAAGGGGAGATGTAAGCATGTAGGCAGACTTGGAGCGGAGTGAAAAAGTTGGCAGAAAACCGAAGGCAATGGAGACGCGCGGCTGAAGCCCTATGTTCCTCTAGGAATTAAAGGATATAATAATAATAATAATAAACGAGTAGAATAAAATCATATCATCTTAATCACTGGGATGTTTGATATTCAGTTTAAATGCATCTAATTAATTAGGTTTCGCTCGCAAAACGCCTTAGTCCGACCCACTCTCTCCCTTTTAAAGTAAATTATGTTTGTTAATTAACAACAGTTTCATTAATTAAGCATACTTTTTTAGTCTAAAAATAGCACTAAATGGAGTAGATAAAACAACGGTAAATGAAGTATGGGCAAAATGTGCATTGACATTAAAATGATAAAAAAGAGGAGAGCTTAACCTGACGAAACCTTAAAAAACCTTAAGAATAGCAAGGATATAGTAATCACTAAATCAGACAGGAATTTCAGCAGTAATAGATAAATCAGACTATTCGGATAAGGTGAATACTCACATACAAAGAAGATCATACGAAGAAATTGAGAAATCAATAGACACCATTATAATCAAGGTTAAGAAACCCACAGAGGACCTTATACGCTGAATCGTTTAATTCAATGCCAAAAACTAATAACCACAGTAGGATATATGGTGTTGTTAAAGTTCATAAGTCAGGATACTCTATTAGACCCATAGCTAATTTTAGAAATTCACCTACTTATAAAGTGTCTAAATATTTAGCTATGGTATCAAATCTGATTAGAGGCCACTCAGAATCTAGACTAATGAAATAAAACATAGATTAGATAATTTAAAATTAGATAATGAAGAAAAAGTGGTTAGTTTTGACATTGTCAGTTTATATACACGTATACCAATAAATACGGCTATACAAGCGGTCAAAAAAGAACATATTTTTGACCAAGAACTTGAACTTATAACAAAAGTTTCGTTAATTATTCTGTAACAAGAGATAAATAGTTTTATTGGATCTAGAGTACACATTTGTATAGTCCCATTTATAAATCATAAAGTGCTCTTACAAACAAATTTACAAAATCGACTTAAACGTTTTTCTGCAATGACATAATATAACTTCCAAAAGATATTACTCACCTTTTAAAGGATGGTATTCCACTTGCATAGCGAATTAGTTGTCCATGAGCATCAACAGATATAATAATGTTGGCAAAGTACCAGTACAGATTGGTTAGACCAACGACGAATGCAATTACCATCTTAAAATAATATAAGTTGAAATCAGTTCACTGAAATAAACTATAACTGGCAGTGTGTACAAAGAAATTAAAATTGAATTATCATAATCTAGTTGGTTTTCTTTTTAATCATAAGGGGAAATACTGTCTGTTGTTTTCATCTGTTTAAGTCTTCTACACCTTTCAATGACAGCATGAAGTTAAACGTTACACTTCAAAATCCACATATGAATTCAATGAAATACCAATGTGCTTCAATAGACCTGTTTCTGTGATATTAGTTAACAAACTGGGGTAAGTGTTATTTATGTAGAATCATTATAAAGGCTATAATAGTCACAAAATTTCTCCATGCTGTTGACTAGGTTAGTTTCACATGGCAATGTATTGTCATTTTCTAAGATGCACCTGTAGAAATATCAGCTGAACTTCCCTCAGCGTAGTTACTATTATCACTAAGATTCGCAGAAACAGTGCAAGAGAACAAAAACTGCAGATTTTCTGTCTTAGTGACAAGGAAACCAATGAAATGTTCATGTGGTTTGCTGAACTCCTTGAATATGAGCGAATTTATTACAGTTGTACAACCAAGATTGTATATAGTCTTCTTTAGTTAGTGCCTCCATGGTTATTGACATTAAGAACAATTACTACTTTAAAGAAAGCACCAAATAATTTGTCATTACAGAAAAATTTATAAAAAACCAAGATTAATCAATACTACCCAAAATGTGATAAAAATGTAATAACCTGGAAGATGAGGTCTTGAATCTGATTGGCTTGACATGAAAATGTTAGGTAACTTCATTCTGTAAAATCCCTACCGACTAATTTCGGCCAACATTTACGTGTGAGTCATAGTCTATTATAGGGCGCAACATTATTGTCACTTAGAATAATGAAGATGTCGTCCAGAAAGACGATGAAAGCTCCGCAATTAAACCAAGGAGCTCAGAGAACACTATCAATTCCAAATCATCCACCTGAGTTACAAATCTTTTCTATTATTTCAAAATCTTACGAGCGTGAAACGCTTCTTTTCTGTCGAAAATGGGAAGACTTTGCTAAACGGCAAGTTTCTACAGAAGAGCAATTATTTTTTCTTCATGAATGTCTCCGCCAGCAGACCCTACCAGCTTCTGTCAGATATAAACCACCAATCAACTGCCCTCTAGGCTGGAAGTTAGCCAAACAACATGGAAAACAAATGGTGAGATTAATGATCACGGATGCACACAATAGGATTAAAAAATATCAGCATATGATTAGATTTCAGAAAGAGAAGCTTGAACATACTCTTACCCCAGAACATCTGTCAACATTAAATACTGCCATTAAATTGATAAGCGAACGGCACAAGGAGCGAAGACGAGCCTTCCTCAGAGACAAACTAGCTAAGATATCCAAACAACCATCTGAAGAAACTCTAAACGATTGCGTAGTAAATCTATCGAAACAGCCATTATCGAAAGCCGAAGAACAACTTCTTCAGAAAGGACTCAACTACAATACTGGTGACGCTTCAGTAACAGATTTTTGTGCTTCATTAGAATCATCATTCAAATTATCAAAATTAAATGAGGAAGTACAACAAGAAATACGTCAACGTATCATACCTTTACTCAAACAGAAAAGACATAATTCCCAACTTAGCACTGAAGAACAAAATGCATTGAAGAAACTAAAGAATAGAAAAGATATAGTTATTCTACCGGCTGATAAAGGAAGAACAACAGTAATCCTGGACACAGAAGACTACATAAAGAAAGCAGAGGATTTACTCAAAGATAATAATGTATATCAACAGTTGACAAAAAACCCTATACAAACATTCGATAACAAAATCAGAACAACGTTAAATAAACTAACGAAATCAGGACAAATTACAGAACAAGATCAATGGCGAATGAGATCTAACGGACCCATTTTACCTCGATTTTATGGTAGACCAAAACTACACAAACCGAACATCCCCTTACGACCAATCGTTTCGCTTCCAGGAACACCAACATATAATCTATCTAGAGAACTTTTCAGGAAGTTAAATTACCTAACAGAATCATGCGACCATTCTATCAATTCGTCAATTCAATTTCTAGAGAAAATCAAAAACATTCAGGTAGAAGACAATGAAATAATGGTGTCCTTTGATGTCACAGCATTATATACTTCGATTAGTCCAAAACTAGCAACAGAAACTATGCAACGATTACTCTATAGTGATGAAAACATAAAAACGCAATGTTCAACTTGGATAGAACTCATAAAATTATGCCTTACAACATACTTTCAATTTAATACTCAAATATATGAGCAAATAAAGGGAGCACCAATGGGATCGCCCATATCAGGATTAATAGCTGAAGCCGTTATGCAAAGATTAGAATTAATAGCTCTACCTATAATTAAACCGAAAATCTGGGTACGTTACGTTGATGATACATTTGTAATAATTAAGAGAAATGATTTAGAATATACCCATAAATTAATAAACAACATATTTGAAGACATCAAATTCACAAGAGAAGAAGAGTTAGATAACAAAATCCCATTTTTAGATGTCTTAATCAGGAGAACCAACACAGGAAATTTAGAAACACAAGTATACAGAAAGTCAACGCACACAGATCAAATACTCAACTATACTAGCAACAATCCAATTACTCACAAAAGAAACTGTGTGCAGACATTGTTTAGAAGAATTCAAACACATTGTAGCACACCAGAGTTGAAAAGAATGGAAGAAAGATACTTACAAACGGTGTTCAAGAAGAATGGTTATCCAAAAAATTTCATCAAAAAGTGTTTAAAATCGAATGAAAGCACCAACAAAGAACCATCACCAAAGACCAAAAAGCAATTCATCCTACCATATATCAGAAACATCTCTGAAATAACGGCTAGAATAATGAAACCGTTTGATATAGATGTAGCACACAAACCAGCTGAATCGCTTAATTCTATCTTATGCAAACCAAAAGATCCGATAGAAAAGGGAGATAAAATTAACACCATTTACAAAATAAATTGTGTGAACTGTAACAAACATTACATCGGCCAAAGTGGGCGTCCCCTTCGAATAAGAATCCAGGAACACAAATCAGCCGTGAAAAGACATGATATAAATTCTTTAGTATCAATACATTCAGACGATCATGGACATCAATTTGATTGGGATAATGTCAAAATCTTAAACAGAGGAAACACCAAATGTGCCAGAGAATTCCTAGAAGCCTGGTACTCAAATGAAAACGCAATTAATAAACACGTTAATATAGATGAAATATACCAACTAATAAGAAGTAAATCAGGTGATCAGAAAGTTTAAAATCCCAATCAATAGAAAACGGTCAATAAATATCTAAAGATGGTTACCGGGAGACTCATGAAGAAATTTAAATCATTTCACTTTATCCTAAATACTGCGCTGAAGATGTCGTCCAGAAAGACGATGAAAGCTCCGCAATTAAACCAAGGAGCTCAGAGAACACTATCAATTCCGAAGGCTTAGCGTACCAGGTCCGAAAAAAGTGACTGCTTTTGTTACATCTTCACAGCCGAATAGGATATAATACAGGTTACTGTAACTTAGAATAGAGTTGCAAATTTAGTCTGAGGTACAGCTGAAATTTAATAAGACTGAGCAAGTGTGATTAATCCTTTAAGTAATATAGGGTAGCAAGTATTGAATCTTAGTTAAGTTGATATAACACAATCGGAAGTGGGAGACGTGATGGCTTGAGATACTAAGAACCGACGCCATGAAAGATACTTTATACTGAATTCTGATGTTTTGAAAAAAGACAATAAAAGCCCGGCATATAAGCTATCATTTAGAGAGAACACAACAACATCACTACTCTTTTTTATGTCAAACTCTAACTTCTCCAGCTGAACTGCTAAAGAATCAACAGTATAAATGAGGAGAACAAACTCTGTCTGTAGCAGGGTACTTTCCATTTTGTAGATAACTCTTAGAAATGTTACTGAAACTGAGTGCCAGATTAAGTAGTTTTCCTCTGTTCCACAAGAACTGACTATTTTCTTTTTCTTACAAGTCTCAGTGAGGGTCTTCTATGTTAGTTCTCCATGAGACTGGTTTAACATTTGCTATGAAACATTACTAAGTGACATCCAGTATGTTATTAACCAGCTTTTGTTCACCTTTAAACCATAAATACTCAAAGTTTACTTACCACGGTAAAGAGTGCCATAAATCTTATAATATCCGACACCATACGAGCTAAAGATATTTGAAGTGGCCCAAGAAGTTCCCATGCAGGCATCAGATAACTAATTCTTGAAAAAGATAGAACATTACCTAGGGCAAACAGGCAGTCTGAAATGTATTCAGGATCATCCGGGGCCCACCATAATCGACCTATGGACAAAGGAAATATAAAAAGCATAAATATTCAGGGACGTGCATTTTTCCATTAACTTTGTTGGAAAAACAGAGCAATAAATTATTTATTCGTAAGCACTACAATGTTCAGTGCTGTCTGAATTCTGGAGACAAGGAAAGGTAACTTCTGGAGCTGAAACTAACGTATTATCCACATGCTATTTGTGACTGAAGTATTTATGTTTTAGTATTCTTGATAGCTAACAACTTCTGCGTTTTAATCAATTAATGTTTAAAATCTTATCTGCAGAGTAACAGGTCTCGCTGCTGTATTAAAAGGATGATGAACATTACTAACTTCATAATCTTTTGTCTTCACATTAAATTTAACATACACTAATATCCTCCATAAAGTTAGTTTAGGGCGGAAAATAGTTAGTGTTGTGTTCCGATATGTACTATCATCAGTTCACTCGTAACTTCTGAAAACGTAAAGAAAAAAGAACAGCTTACTATACAGAAGTAAGCATTAAGAATTCCCAATATCCGAGAGTAGACTGTCAGGTAGCTATCATGAATTACTGATTTGAACAAAAGGACTTGTCGAAGTAGTCAGGAAGCAGTTATCAGTTCCAAGTTTGGTAACAGATTGATGCCAGTTAGAGAACCTTTGAAAACCACGGATGACAACTATTTCGTCCTCTTTTGAAACTCTCCAGCAGCATACACCCATGATACCTCCTGGGGTCAAACTCAGGACCTACACGTTACGAGGTGAGCCTGCTGACCACTCACTCATTGGGATAGAATCCAATGGCTAATGAGTTTGAACTTCTATCAGCTCACGATTTCTAGCGACATCACCAGCCAGTGTCATCGAAGAGTATTTATCTTGATACTCGACCTGGTAAACCTTGCTAGTCACGACTTCTCATTAGGACTCCAGATAACTTCGTCTTGTAGTCAGTCACTAGTGAGCATCAGGTTAATTTCCAGTCGTTAGTTTGTAGGCGTTCGATTGGTTCCAAGTTTGACCATGGATTGAGCTCGCCTGGTAATGCGTGACTACTGATGAAGAATCCGAAATAAGGAAGTGATAGCTAACCAGTACTCCGTGGTTTCCAAAGGTTCTCTGATTGATATCAGTCCCTCGTCAAACTTGGAACCAATCAAATCTCTACATACTAACACCTGAAGACAATTATTTTGTAAAATAGAATCCAATTATTGGTGATAGACCATATAAATAATGAAAATTAAGTAATGGCATCACTGGATGCCATTCCGGGTTGCTAAGATGAAACTTCTTATCAACATAAGGTTTATTGATTTTGAAAAAATTCAGATCGTAACTGCTACTTTACACCATATAGGAATGAATTAAATCGTTTGTCATTAGTTACGCTAAGCTTAATTATTTTCAAGCTGTCTTTCGGCTTTCAGAAAAGAAATGTGACCTCCATTTCCTGTTTTTCTTGAAATCCATTTAGAAAGATTTCTAATAGTTTGAATAACATCTTCATTAGTCAAAAATGAGGCCATGTTGTTAATGAAAGTAGACCACCTGCTCAGCGCAATCTAACAACTTATTTGTCATACTGAATATAATTACTTTGGATGACGGCAATAAAAGTTAAGTCACTAATTTGATTTCGTCAAGGCTTACTTCATAATATCATCCATCCAAACAGGGAACTCAGGCTCAATCTCTTCATATTCCCCTAATACATTTATGTTTAAAGTGATACTGTTTCCTTTAGACTTTTATTCATTTTCACAAAGTCGATTATACTATGCATTTTGATTGGACGCTAGTAACTAGTGAGACTCGTCTAGTCCTTTCTTTGGTGCAGACTGAATTCTATTAGTCAGGTTTGCGATGTAGCCACCATTCTAGGTAACCTGCCATCACGGCGTACATTGATTTGATGAAATTAGATGGTTTCAGGAGTCGACAGAAAGCCTTGGACCTACGTTTAGTGCTAGTTGTACTAACCAGTCAGCAAGGCGTATCTGCAACCTTGAAGGAACTCACGACTCTTCTGAGATTGGAACCAGACTGATAGAGTTCAGTCTGCACCAAACAAAGGACTAGACACATCACACTAGTTACTAGTGTCCATTCAAAGTATCCAATACAGTCCTACAGGAAGGAGGTTATTAGCGAGCCCGAATAGCTTAGTGGTAATGTCTCTGACTGCAGCACTGGGTGATGCCGGTTCGAATCTCAGAAGGGAAGTGAGTTCCTTCCAGGCTGCAGATACGCCCTGCTGATTGATGAGTGCCAACAAGCACGAAAAACTAGATCCAATGCTTCCTGTCGATTGTTTCACCATCTAATGCACCATGTATTAACTGTCTTAGGTGACTAATAAAGACTTATTGGCTACCAAATAGTTGACTATGAGAGTTTTAAACGTGTTAAAATTAATTATTTACAAGTCATAAAGAGAATTAAAACGAATAAAACAATAGTGTGTTGTGAACTTTGTAAAGATTCTAATCGATTTTAAACTGTACTCCATTAAATCTGTCATAAGCTCAGTGAACCAATGGAAAATAAACAAAGCCCGAATATTTCAACCACGAGATAAACACAGGGCGGAGATAGACTGGTTCGGGACTCATCAGTTTATAACTCGCAACTCTCTTCAACTCAAAAAATGCTGCCCACTCAGCTTCTGGGGTAATCAATTTTACACCTGATGCATTCATGGCTGGTTTCGGACTAGATTCTGTATGATACTATGGATGAGTTCCTTGACGGTGTCGTCATTCTTGGCTTTCCGAGGCTCGCTAAATACTGCTTTGCAAGGTTGTTTTCTTGGTTGAAATGCTATTTGGGCGTGGTACTGGATACTAGTTGGTTAACAGTATGTGAAAAGTTTACTCGAGAAGTAAAAATGTACTTGCATATATCAGATGACAAATCAAGTGCATTTTATTCATTCGGTGTATCACTTTTACATTGAAGAAAGGGATTAGTTGGAACAAATAATGTGGAATCATTGTTAACTGTGCGAACTTATTTATGATTCTCAATTTTTATGTCTAAATGATATTAGGTTACTCAAAATATTTGAATTATTCAGCTCACAGGAAAATTTTAATTCCTGTGTGGATGAATTTAAAGGTTACATATAAAGGACTATACATTGGTGACAAGTTATTCATATTAATCTTATCAAAGTATGATAAATAGATATATTTTCCTAGCGCTGAGGAAGAATACACTCTATTTTAAGCAAAACTTAAGTGTATCAACTTACAACCTCTTAGCCAATAAGCAGATTCAGGAATCAGTATTTTATTTCTGTAATTCACATAATCCTGATGAGTAGTTTCAGTATTCGAACAAGATTTTGAGGCTGAACAGGTGGCATTTAATAAAATTGACTGAGCCAATTTAAGCTGAGCTTCATATCTTCCCATAGATGCTTGAACTTTGAAATCTACAATAATTCTTAGCGAGTATGAAGCCAAATACAAGGCAATAGAAACCCAGTCCATAAAATTGTAATAACTACGAAAAAAGTAGCGTAGACCATAGTGATAAACTTGTTTACATTCCATACAAAGTTGACCTGTGATAGATAAAAGTATAATATACATTAAACTGTTTAATTAAGATACCTGCTTCAACGTTATATGCTAGTGAAATATAATAGGAAACTTTTAATTTTTCTGAACATACATCAATTAATAATTCTTTATTTACAAGTATCAGAAAGGATTATTATTGTTCCCTTGGATTCCAGATGGAGCATACGACTTCAGCAACACATCTCCACCTTGTTTTGTCCTCTACTGTCCTCTTTAGCTAGGCCCAAGATTGCCAATAATATTTATTCTCCTCCTCTCACGATCTCCTCCCTATCATCCTCTGCCTGACTGGTAGCTGCTTCCTTGACGTGGTGGTCGGACTTGTATATCTCAATAAATCAGGAACTAATGTTCCTGAAGGTACTTCCATACGAGAAAGATTGTTAGGATAGCGATTAGACTAAAAGCAGTTACTGGTGCAGTATGAGAATATCTTTACACTATGCTGGAGGGTCTGCGGGCAAAGTTGTGCTGCTAGGGAACTGGGATGTAACAGCAGTAAGGTGTTCCACTCAGATGACCAGCATGCCAGCTATGCTGTCTCTCCACTCTGGAGGGAAAGGGCTAGAATAGGTTGACCCCAAAATTTGTACATCCCTACTTACCCTACGGTGGTCCGTATCTGGCAGTAAGTTACTAATAAGGAACTAGACCTGAAAAAAATTCAAACAGTTCGTGTGTGACCTGCCTCAAGCAGTTTTCCCCTGGGCCCTGCGACCACGCAAAACTAACTCTGTTTCTGTTCCAGGCACCCAAATAATCAATCAACTTTCACGGTGTAGGCAGCCGGAAAGAAACAACCAACCACACATTTCTAAAAGCACACCAGGCCCTTCTCAGCATCATCCTCCTTTACCCACATCACCCTCATCATCTTGCTTCCCTATTACTCTCAGTACTATACTGAAGACTGAACAGTCATTTTCATTTCATTCTCTGACCACAAACAACGATGAGAGCCAGAAAAACACTCTCCATAGTCTCTTAAAGCCACGCCGCCAACTTCATATTGGAGCATGTAACGCCAGGACCCTCTCCCAAACCAAACAACAGGCACCACTAGCCATAACTCTGGCATCTCGAGCCATGGATGTGTGTTGTGTCTCGGAGACACGCATAAAAGACTCAACTGTGGTTATTCACTCAACCTCACCCGTCCAAGAAAGTGAATCCTCGAAAATTCACCTTAAGGGTGCTAGGAGACTATTCAGGTGGTTCACGGGGGATAGCATTGAGTGTAAGAGCAGAAAACTCACTTCTCGACGGAATCGCAGTAGATAGTCGTATGTGTGTGCTCCGTTTGAATGGGTCCGTTGGAAGAGGAAGGATGGCGTTACTCGTCGTTGTATTTTCATAGTCTACACTAACGTCCCAATAGACTGCAGTTCGCATGAATTAAAGGATGATTTCTACCTGAGACTGTCTAATTTGTCGCAAAAAGTAAAACGCTCAGATATAGTTTTTTTTAGCAGGCGACCTCAGTGCCCAAGTAGGGAAATTTGGCCAGATAGAGAAGTATGTTGGCAGTACGCATGGAGTTCCTTACCTAAAACCGACCACGGTGACCTTCTTCTACAGTTTTGCTCAGATGATCATCTGTTTCTAGTCAGCACTAACAGAGAAAGACACTGCGTAACCTGTCAACCTCCATCACCAAATCAACGCTGGACTCAGCTGAGATAGACCACATAGCGATGCAGTATTGTTGGCGGAGGTCAGTAGAAGACTGCCATTCCTATTGGAACATGTGCGTAGACTCCAATCACGCCCTGGTTTGCGAACGTTTCTGCTTACGTCTAAACGGACATAAAAAACTGTTGGCAGAGAAACAGTTACGTCTTTAACTAAAATGAGACTCTGGCTCCCTATTTAGAGAAGGGATGGTGAAACGAGTATCTGAGGTTGACAAATAAACTCTTCCCGATGAAGTCTAGCACAACATACAATTAGTCGCAGAAGCAGCTGTAAGGGTCCATGGATTTCTACTACCTCATCAGAACTGAATGACGCAAAAAGACTGATTCCGGTGAGCTCCGGATATGATCAGGAGCGAAAGCTACTCAGATGCAAACTAATAAGAAGTCTTCGCGACGACCGTGAACAGTGATAGTCAACAAAAGCGAAAGAGAAAGAAGAAGCATTGGTGGTAGTTAACATCAAACAAATATGTAGACTTATCAGGGAAACAGGTGGTGAGAGGCAAATGATAAGTGAAACAATCACCGACGAAAATGACGCCTTAAAGAACACTTTGAGGAACAATTTTACTGGCCTATAGCTACACCCAACTTATTGAGCATCCAACACCTCCCTGAGTGAACGATATATAAACAGCATCCCTCCGTCCCTAACTAAGATTACAAAAGCTTTCATTAGTCTCAAATGGGACGAAGCTGTGTGACCTGATGGCATGACTCCAAAGATGTTTAAAGGCGAGGAAGAGGGTTTATTGTCTGGCTTAGACCAAGCCATTGGGCAGTGTCTCGGAATCAGAGATGGTCTCGTCGAGCTGGTGTAAACCACTGAAAGAGACAAGTCGTAGAAATCAAGTAAAATATGGAATTATGTAAGGCTTTCAAAGATTATAAGGATTTCAGAAAACAAATAAGCAAAAGTCAAGTTGGTGGAAATCAACAAGGTTGTTGCCAAGACAGTAGAAGTGGTTAAATAATTTTCCTTCCTATGCATAACTATACTTTCTTCATCTGAATGACTAAATTTTCAGCAGTGCACGGGAAAAAAGCGTATCGCCTCTGGTAAGTTGTTATTCAATTTATCAATACTATTCATTCCCTCTAAATGTATACCTGCAAGTGGAATAAAAGGCTTCAAGAGTACATCTCCACTTTATCTCATTCTCTGAAATCCTATTCATCTGGCCTCACAGTTGTCAATAGTCTCTTAGGTCCTTATTTCATCGTCTCCTCCACGTCACCCTCTGACACACACCTAACTCATCCTTTCTCATTCGAGTTCAACCCCAGAGATGACCTGAAGCGTGATGTCATTCGACGGTCTCCTCAGCGTGTGATTAATCAATCTCCATTCTCCTCTACATATTTATTGATCAATGAGTTCTCGATTCGCTTTTCTCATAGTTTCTCCTTGATAATTCTTTACGGTCGGCTGGCCACCTCATCTTCAATATGCAGCTAGAGAAGTCAGCTATCGATAAGGGTGTGCAGTAGCCTGTTGCAAATGCTTTTCCTCATGGTGCACACACCACGTTTCTGACCCACATAGAAGCGGTAACTGACCGACTAACTGACTGAATGAATGAATGGCTTAACATTGGTGTTGAAAATCCGAGCGTATTTCTTCACGCTGAGAGAGATGAAGGCGTGTCTTGCTTCTTCGATCCCGGTTTTGACATCATCATGTGCTCAGGTTGCCTGTAGTAGTTGAAAGGATTTTGTCTAGATGAGTGGAGGAAGTGAGTGACCTCTTTCGATTTTCTCACGGCGACAGCAGTTGGTGGTAGTTTTAGCTGTTGTTGTTGTTGACTGTTTATATTTATACCCTTTGTCTTCTCTATGTTCGCTTGAATTCGTGACTTGGCTGGTTGCTTCTTCTGTCAGTCTGCTAGTTTTCACCTGCAATTCTTCAAGTCTGTGACACTGAACAGAGAAGTGTTTAAAACGTACATTCACCGTAAAACACACTTTCAGACTCAAAGAAGTATCTGTTGTTGACCAGGAATTTTCAGTCACATAAGTTTGTGTAATAAAATCTATTTGAATATAGTAATTAGTACTCATTTAGTGAATTTACGAGTATCTCATTGAAATGCAACTTAAAAGCTATAAGTTGTCTTCCTTTTTACAAGAACATAACGGCGATGCGTATATTATATTCAATAAAACATCGAAACTGAATGCTGTAGACCACAGTTACTGATAAATGAGAAATCATTTTAGTGACTTTATTACTTAAGCTGTAATAAGCTGGTGAAGGGATTATTATGTTTTTAGAATGAAGAAAGAGAGGCCCAAAATCTTCACTTCATGTTCTCATATGTAGTTCGGTTGACTAAGTATTATTCCACATAGCGCGTAAATTATTTTACACCAAATACGGATATCGAAACAATTTTTACTCAGTTAAATTACAAAAATGTCAACAATGAAATTGAATTGACGACGACAGTTTTATTTCACTTTTTCCAGTCTTGACTTTAGCCATTAGTTATAAGTTTTTAGACGAAAGCAGACTCCATTTTTAGCTTTCAACTGTTTTCGAAATTTTTTCCCCGGATCTTATCACTGTTGTGTCAAAATGCTACCTCTGATAGGATGGCTTTTATTGATAATGAATAGCGGTCACTTCAGATTATGACTAACCCTATGATGTGAAAAAGCACAAGACTTATATTAGAGAAAGTGGTGATGCGAAAAAAGTATTATGATGCGTAGGTAGTTAACTTAATGGTTCAGTTGATTAATGATAGATTAGATCTTTCAGTAGCCTGATTATTAAAAGGTATTTTTATGAAGTGACTAGTAGTGATGAAACACAGCTTTCTGTAGTTGTCTCCTTTTATATTTCACCTGGATTACAGAAATGTACGAAACGTGAAGATTATTCTGCTACTTTAACTCATTTCTGTATAAAAGCACATTGAAATGCTTGAAAAAGCTTTGTTAAATCTGATTAAGAGAACAACATTTATTCTTAGGATACAGAGAAAAGTTTTCTCATATCGTCTAAAGACAAAAGGCAGAAGAAATCTAGTTGTAGTGGGGAGAAGCTGAAGTCTTGCAGTATGCAGTGTTATGCGAAGATTTATTTCTAATCCAAAAGACAAGAATAGTTGAAGTTGGAAAGAAAAGACTTGAATTCCAAATCTAACAAAAAAACAGTTTCGTTATTTTATCTTATGCTTAAATGATCATAAAAACTCACCATGCTGAAATATTTGAATTTGTATTTTTAGCTGGTGGCGCGGTAGCCTGAAAAAAGTTCTCATTTAAAGTGTAGATTATGGTGGGTGGTTAATTGGGTTGTTGTTAATTTAGATTTACAGGATGAGATTGGACGGTTGTGGAACAGTACCAAATTTTTTGTGCAATGAGAATACATTATGAATAATGTTTCAATCATTTTAATGAATTCAAGTAAGCAGGAGGAACACGTTTTAACAGTTTATTATGGGGAGCGATAAGCTTCAGAAGATGTTTTACTTTTATGATAATGTAAACGTTTAAAATTCAGTTTTTTCCGAAGCATATCTGTCGGTGGTGAAGAACTGTATGCTCGTAAACCTGCCTACAATCTTAGTTTACGAATCTGATATCATTCAAGGATGAATGTTGCTCATTTAGGTCGGGATTAAAACATACAAAACAGTGTCTGTTAAATTTGCTTTTGTTTAGCATGATACTATCGGCACTTCGCTTACCTAATATCCAAAATAATAGTATTATTTGGATTTTTGTCATAACCACGTTTGATGTCCGAAAGTCATAACTCAAAATCTCAGTGTACCTAACGTGCCAGTTGTCATTCTCATCACTGACTCCTGTCCGGTCCAGACGAAAAGTTGCCACAGTAATTAGAATTAAAAAAGTCATATATGAAACCATATGACCGAGGAATTTGGTCACAGGACACCGTAGTATTTCCGTTACCTCAAAAAAAATGCAAAAGAAAAAATAAATTCGATAGTATTAATCTTTGAAAGAATTAAAAGTAAGTGAGGTATTCTATCATTTTCGCTATAAAATAGATTCAGTTACTCATAGTTCAATTAGGAGGCTATCGTTAAGCTTCCGGATCATACATGTTGTATAAAGTTTTTTTATTCTTTTACTATCCCACTGGATCATCGGGCTTCAATCCAGAGCTTTAAAGTTTTTTTTTATGTCAGTGATGTTTATTTTCATGTGGTGGGGTTGCCAGCCTCATGACCAATCTTCTGTCTTCACCGGTCTTATCGCCAGCTTGGTGAGGTGAAGGAGCGGGTCAACCGGTGACCGAACCCTGAACTACATGCGTGGTTGGCAAGATTTCTACTACTAAGCCACTGGTGCACTTTTGCATATAGAGGTGAATTTATTTCAGAATCTGTGATATATAAATGTATATAAACATATAACTGTTCAGCTTCCTGAGTTTAGTTGAACTTTCAGATAGATAACAAGTAAGCAAAATATCGAGAGCACAACTTTTTACCAGGGTTTGCATTAACTGAGGTCAGTGTATTACCTCTACACACTAAACTGTCTGTTCAGTGGTTCAAGTTTGATATTTATGCAGTACTGTAAGAAGAAGGATTCTGGTCATAGAGCAAAATGAAAAACATGGACAGGTCAAAACATTCTCCCTCAGAAATTAGATCATAAAAAAGTTTGAATTTCATAGCGCTACATAGAAATAAAGACCGATTATTTGTCTTCTTCCAATGTATTTCGTCAAGAACCGACATCAGTTGGAGAATCACTGAAAACTAGGAGTTGTTCGGGCCTGGTTAAGGAAAAACCCTACAGAGTCCGAAACCAGAATATCAATTCCAAGTTCATCATTAGTTTCAGGATGGATGTCCTAAAGTCCTGATTAGAAGTCATGGAGCGCGCTATAAGCAGACTCATTGGTCATCGGTAGTGCTATATAGCTAAAAGAGAGAATTTAGAATTCATGGGTCACAGAATTCCATCCCAGATGCTCACCCAGTAATTCTGAGGTCATAGTTCAACATCCTGTGGGTTCGTATGCGTGCACTAGGACATTTCGCGAATTAAAAATCATTGTGTGTGATATCTTAGGAATCATGTCCGACGAGATAAAAAGTTTATTAAAGATATTTGTTCTACTCCGGGTTTATTAAAATTCGAATTTATTGCTAAATGAAAATTGTCAAGCACTCTGGGGAAACGTTTTTTAAGATAGTTAGTTATATTATGAAAAGTCACGGATAAATTATTTACTAAGGATATTGTTCTTTATTTCATACCCTGTAGCTTAATGGGAGTGAAGTCAAACAGGATGTGTTCTGATCTTTTTGTTTCGGCTTCTAGACGTAGAAGCAGCATTTTTCAACCCTTCCCAGCTTTTATTTATTTTGAAACACAACTGATAATAAATGTCACCAGAAGCCACAGTTAAAGAGTACTTGAGCTACACATGAAGTTTTATGGTCAGAAGTACAGTCAATCTAATCTCTCTCTCTCTGATAATTTATCTTTTTATCTGTAGAGCAGATTGAACAATCGCGTTAATCATATGATAGAGACAATACTACATTACCTTATTTTATAAATTCTACGGAAGTTAACATGACTTTTCATACAACAGTGAACACGGAAAAGGTTTAGGCATAGCAGATATCATCTACTTTTTCGGTAAACTAATTCAGTTCCCATCTGATAAATATGCTGTGTGATAATAAATCGCAAAAACAAATTTATCATGTAGTTTTGATTTGTAACTGTTTTTCATGTATACAACTATTAGTAATATAGTGACACAATTTATGAACATTGTTGTAAATGTTTTGCATGTGAAAAAATAAACACTCATTTACCCAAAGTTATTCATGTATAAACTGGCGTCTGAAGTTATTGAATTCAGGACAATTAATTAAATGGTCTTATTAAACATCAGAAACTTCCCTTTGCAGAATTCCTGTCTGTAACGCATAATTCTATATCTTTGTAGGATCTGTTAACTTTCTGTTGGAGTTCATTGTTGGATGTCTCATAGGAAAATTTACGCAACTAGTAACGATATTTTCTGTCAGAATGATATATGTAAGACCATGTGAGTAAAATGCAGTGTGATGCCATTTTGAGCTTACAAGCTTGGAACAATACCATCATGATATCTAGTAGACTAAATTGTACTATATGGTCGATAGGACTAGTTAGTCTTATCTTCAGTCATCAGGTTAGAAACTGGAAAGCATTGATTAAATAAAGTGTGATCATCCACTATCTCTGGGTTTTTTTTAACAACCACAAGTGAAGGATGGATAGGGTCTAAATACAGATTTCCTGTGAGAAAACATATAGAATAATCTCTTGTGGAAGTGCAGTAGGAAGTCTGTGGCTGATGGGTAAATTACATCAAATTTCTGGAGCTTTGATTATAAGTGACAGTGAGTATTTAAAGTTATCCATGTGCAGTCAATATATTGTATTTTACCTAAGAGGATTGAAGATTTTAGATGGCGCACACATTGAGTAATCTACGAGGAAAATAGTTACGTTTGGCAAACCATCTCTAAAAGATAACGGAATGTTCCTCCTTCAAACAAATGAGTACATATTATCAACTCCTACTGCCACTATGCCTTGTGGCCGCTTAGTTTCAGTTAAATTTAACTCATAGTCCAAAGCGATTGTGCATTTATTCATTGAGTCATAACTGGATGGTGATTATTAACTCACTGAAAGGAAATCCAAACTTCGATCTCGATGCATACAAAAAGGTTTTGCTTTCTTCGCAGGTAAAAATCACCAACCATCGTTAAGTGTATGAGTATAAAACCATGCCTGGTTACAGCTTCTTTTGCATCCAGATCATTACTCGAATCGAGTATCTACTAAATAGTGATACTTTGCCAGATTAGGATATTCTGTTTGCAGAAATGATAATTTGACGTTATATTCTTAAATAACTCCGAATGACTGGCTAGTATATTTTCATCAGAAATTAAAATACTTCTAAGGCGGATAAAGTTTAACGCAGTTCTGCTTTAATAAATTACACGTACATGAAGATTGACAAACTATTCCATGGGCAAGGTGTTTTAATTCTGTATGCAATTTGACATTCTATTTTGACTAGTGGCTTTTTTTCGTCTTTAAATATGTCGTTTTGATGTGCTTGAAAATGTTAAGTTTTCTGGCATACAATGTTACTTTCTGGTGAAATACTTTAGTATTTATTAACCTACCAACAGTATTGTACGGAATCTCTTTAGAATTGCTTATTTAGGCTGGAAAAAATTCACAGCAATGTGACATTTATTATCGAACTTTTGATGCATATAAATACGTATACATTTAGACAAGTAAATACTCTCCATAAACAGTGTCTAGAATAAACAAAATATTTCATTTGCCAGAAGTGCGTAATTTTCCCATATGTTAATAAATTTTATTGGAAATGGATTGAAATTTCATAAATAGACAGTTAATTAGTCCATTCATTGAGCACACTAGTGACAGTTGTAAGCATATGAATCAAGGATAGAAGGTTTTTAGAATCTTTGGCTAAAAATCACTCTGTTATTCTACATCATTAGCATGAGTCACACAGGACAGGAAACTGTTGATTCATCACTCAGAGATGAACTAAACGTGTATTATCAGACTGAAACAATTTAAAAAGATGGAAGTTGGTGACCTGTGCATCAATCTTTATTTCAAGACGACTTGGCTTCTTTGAAATACCTAAAGTCGTTTGATTAAATTATTTGATGGATACAAAGAGATGAAAATGAGCACGGTTCAACTTCACTTTTCATAAAAACGGCATGATTCAGATCACAAGCTAACATGATTAAGTAAAAGAAAAACCTTTACAAAGGACAAATGATGCTTCAAGTGGGTTAAACTATCATTTATGATCAAAACATTCTGCTTAACCGGTACCACATCACAGTGATGCGGATGGTTTCTAATAATTAACATTTAGAATGTGATAATGCCTGCTTCATTTTCAACTCTGCAAATGAAATTGTATGAAATATGTTTTGTGTTTAGAAGATTCCGATTTTTGTGGAAAGTGAGTGTCACGTTGAAAGACTGTGACGCGCACACTAATCTCATACATTCGCCTTAAACATGCAGTAAGTAGTGGACATCAGTGAAAGTGTACACACCTGTTTTGTTCTGCACGTGACTCTTCAAATGAGTAGATCTGCGTTTTCTAAAAAATTCCGTTGAGAACAGAACCTAGGCTATGTCTCTCAAACACCAAACTGCTATCTTCTGTGGTAGTGTGCTACAGGGGATATCATTAACATAACAAAGAAAACGAAAGTTCTGATCCCTTACAGACACCGGCTAAAACCCTTTTACTATGGCTAAAAGTCAGCAGGCGAAATCCATGGCCTCTGATATCAGATGATAGAAGGAACATATTAGCCAGTAAAAGAGAACCAGCCATTTAAAATTAACTCAGTAATTCCTTGCTCTTGACATGTGCAGGGTCTACAGAAACCTGATAATAACAGAGTGGCCTGCTTAGTGGGTTTTCATTTGTAAATTTTATGTATTCACGACTAAATATAATTTTAGCATTTTTGCAGCAAACAAAAGGAATATGTGCTTTATTAGGTTTGAAAGACTATTTTCAAGACAGACTTACGCCTGTTAGTTTGATATAAGTTTTATATTACAGACATCACAGATAATATAAAATGACTTTCAAAAAACATATTAAGTTTTGAATCACTAAAATGTATGTCAGATTGAGTAAATTATCTTCTTAAAATGAATAAATCTGAGTCAGTAAATCAGGCAATGATATCGATATTTTCTGCCAGCTGCCATTCATCAACAAAACTTTTCTACAAATCCAAGAAAGAACCCTAATCCCTCAACAAACTGATAGCCGAAGAATAAATGGTCCATCCTCATAACTAATGCTCAAAATATATCGTCTAATTGTCTGTGTATAGTTACGTAACTTTAGTTAGGGTTTCATGCTTCGCATTGTTTTCTGGAGCAGAAGAGTACCTGTATATATATTTATATAAATACATATGTATAAATTTTCAATGTTAGTGTTAATTAAGTTCCTATACATGGCTCAGAATTTTGGCGCACAGCGAAAAGAATTTATAACAGACTACGACAGACTTTTATCAATAGCTAACTTCGCTGGCTCCATAACGAAGGTAGCAGGTCAGAAAGGATTAGCATTAAGGAACTCTGAGACGAAACCAATCGAGGACCTACCACTCAACGAACATTTTGAAGAGAAATCAGATGGACTGGAAAGACGCTGAAGAGAGACCATTAGGCGATATCGTGCGCCAAGCCATAGCTTGTATGGAACCCTAAATGGAAACGACAAGTTCGGCTTCAGTGCAAGGGTGATATTAAGGTGGCCATGGGAGGTGAGGGACTACGGGTAATAGTGGGGCCAGCTAGAGAGGATTGAAGAGGACAGGACAAAGTACAGATGTGTTGTGGAAATCCTATATATATATTTATATATGTATATAAACACAACGCGGGTTCTGTAGCCGAATATAACTTGATAATATTTCAATAACAGAAGCTCTGTATATTGAGTCAGATACGAATATGTTATATCTTATGAGTGGTTAACCACCTATTTCAGCCACTTTGAAACTTTTATCTTCCCTCTGGCAAACTATTATGACAACTGGATCTGCAAAGGCCAAGTTTTAAGTATGTGAAGCTACATTTTATACCTATGAACAGTAAATTGTAATCGCTAAATCATCTAGTAGATGATGGTTTCATAGTGCGGTACTTGTAGTAAATAAACTCAAACTGAAGGGTTGTGCACACAGTGAAAACTGTATCATCAGATGATTAATAACTCTGCATTTCGGCTGAAGTGTTGCTCACTAGTCACTTTGCTCACACCATTAGTCAACAAATGTAAGGTGGTTTTTATACTGAATTGAGCTTATTGGAGCACTAGACGACTTTTAACCTTAACATTGTGAAATGGTTCAGATTTCGCTACACGTTCTCTAATCATGAGTATACAAAACTATTTTTTATGTAAAGCCAGTTTCAGATTTTTATTAGTTATCTGAATGACCATAGCATTATTCGTTTTTCTGTCTTGAACTCCCATACTTTTGTTGGCCAGACTTGCGTCGGTCTAATTTACTGCATTAATTTAAATTACTTCTATGTATATAACCAGTCGAGAGCTGCTGGTGAGAAATGCAGTGAAAGTGAATATTTCTTCGCTCAGTATGTTATTTTCTTAATTGTTTGAAAAAGAAATTTTAGTTTTGTGAACTTTGAATTTGTAAGGAGTTAATTTATTATGTTTGCAGAAGTAAAGTTTAACCGACAACTATAATTAGTCTAATGATCCCCTCTCTTCCGCCTCCTCCTAAAGAAACATCTTTCCTCATTTCTCCATAAATTTCTAAAAAACCAGTTTTGTACTGTATTTTATTAGGATGGATGAAACAGCCTTCATAATTTGAAGTTGTAAATAGGTACCATAACACTGTTAGCATCTATACCGAATTAATACAAATTTTAATGGAAAATGAAATCCATTTTTAACCTGAAAGGAAGGAAATCATTAGAAGGGGTAGAATATATATATATATATATCATTAAAACAAAATATTCTATTTAAATGCATACCATTAAATGCATAGAATATATTGAACTTCTCTTTCTATGAATAAATCTCCCTTAAATCAACTATCTATTAATCATATTTAATTCAGCCTGTTATTTAAATAAGGGAATTGTTTTTGAGCAACAAAAAATAATTACTTGTAGTGAAGGTGAACAGAAATCACATTGCATACATCTTTGTTAGAAATTGATGTCAAAGATGGATTGAATGAAATCTTTCAGTATGCCTACAAAAGTTTTGGCTGTTCCCCTGTTAGATATTTTTTATTTTTTTCGAGCATAAATTTTTGAAAAGACAACTGAATACTTTTCATAGGAAGCCATGACGTTTGCGTGTTCAAAAATGTTTCATTTAAAATCACTTTAATCTTAGTCTGTTTCCCTTTCAAAATGACATATCTTGACAACATAATACTAGTATAATGAAAATTAGGCAAATATGAGCCTCACTTTTCACTTGCTATAGTCACAATTATCACATCTCAAATTCCACACAGTTTGAATGAAAAGAATATTGAATGACAACTAAAACTGGAGTCTTTTTTTTAAAATTAATTTGAGAGATAGGATACAGGAAGATGAGTGTTGGCAAAATAAACAGCTCATTCAAACCATGAATCCAATTTTCACGACTACAGAAAAGGTGATCATCATCTTAAACATGCAAAACACAGCTTTTGATATTCTATGTATGAATATTTACCGGATGGTTGGTGGTAGTAGACAGAAAGTCTGAATGCATGTTTGGTGTTTAGTGATGTGCCTCGGATGTCACATTATATTATATCTTCTTAACTTCACTTTTTGCTGTAGTCAAAAGCAAGATTTCGATGAGACTCACTTCAAATGTCAAGTTATTTTCACAGGAAGCTAATTAATTACAACAGCTGTGTTCAACCAAATTTGTATTATTCATTGATGGTCTGTCTTAACACTGGACACTTAATTTTTGTTTTTTAATTGTCCTATTTTCTTTTACCATCTCCCATTAAATTTGTCCCTTATTACCAATGTTGCTAACTTGACTGTTGTTCAATTTTAGTTGAATTCTACTGATTCCCGTTAATTATATTGCGTGAGATGGCCTCAGGGATTCGAACATTCTCGATATGACGAATTATATTGTCACTCAGTTTGACTTTATTTTATTTTAGATTCAACCCCATTAACGCTTCTCATACTAAGTGATCTGTTAACTGAAGAAATTTGCGATTACAATGACACATTTATGGAAGTATTCCTTTTGTTAATAAGATAATTTACTGCATGTATAAGATTGCATAGAAAAAGAGCAACTCATCGTTGAATGTCTTTTGTCTGATTCACTGGGGATTTTCAAGTTGCTTATTCATCATTACTGCCTAAATGCGTCTGTTGTTGATTAATAGAAGCGAATTATTAAGTTTTGTTCCACACAGAGGTGTTAAGGTAGCATAGTCTTCATTATCTTAAGTGACAACGTGGCAAATGCTGCGATGTCTATATATATATATGACTGGTTTAACATAAACCCGAATATAACCTGTGAATTATACCAGCAAGGAGGAATAAATAAAATTACGCTATGGCTAATAGAAAAGAACAGATGTGATAGTACATACCAACTCCCTAGCCCCCTAAAGCTAGTATTTAGAAAATGCACTCTGAAGTAATCACTGCGGTTAGTAATTTTACAAACTAAGCGTATTCTTTCTAAATGCTTCAGGTATTTTATGCCATCGGAAAATACGTTAGACAATTACATTCTTCAAAAAATGTCATTTTGTACTTAAAAAAGTGAACTGAAGGCACACAGTTATCTGGAAATGATTCATGCTGCCAGAAGAGACTTAGAAAGTAAAATTCTCGGTTTGTTTATTAACAGTAAACAAAAAAGAGATAAAAGTTTATGAAACCTTTTATTTATCTAGGTAAGGACAGTAATAAGTGTAATATCCACGCAGAATTTTACTATCATTCTGACCTTATCAGGTTATAGAATCGCCAAAACTCCATCAATACTTATGATAAACTTGATTAAAATAGATCCTATTTGATAAAAGCCTGATATCAACAGCTTAAAGTTATTTATTCGATTGGTGTTTGAACCGTCAATGATACGATATAAAGCTGGTGTTTTTTGACGTTAAACAGTTGAAAGAAGTTTTCTTGTCACTGAAAAATCACATGATATAAGCATTCCATGCTTAACAATCATGTTTAATAGTGCTAACTCTAGTGTGTTAATACTCAGAAAATGTAATAGCACTCTTGATTCAGTAACTTACCTCATATTTTGTAACGCTTCGATCACGATATATTAAACTCTGTGGGAGTGGCATCTATATTAAAGAAATAAATACGTAAGGTATATAAATAGGGATTATTATATTAAATTATCAAATTTGAGCTTGGCAGTTGAAAAACTAATGAAGATGCATCCGTTATGACGCATTACATACTGAAGATTTTGTGATTTACAAATTTATTAATTTTCACACACTATTGTAAATGATTGGTGAACATACTAGCTAGGATATCGACTTTACCAGTTATGTTTTGCGAAGTGCTTGGATTTTCAGATTAATTAGATGAAGACAAATTTCTCGGAGTGTTTACCACATAAATACTTATCCTCATAGTCCGTATGGAGAATTTTATGCTAACGTATTTAATTTATTAATCATCTGATTCATATGGTACGGGAATTATTTCCTCGAAATTAGTGATAGTGGAGATACTTAAATCCAAAAGTCACTTGAAATTTTTTCTATAATGGTTTGTAACTTCTAAAAGGAATAAATATTAATGCAGAGTCACTATTATACGCGCATATATAAAGTAAACACTTCTTCGTAATGAGTCTCTCAGGAAGTAAAATAAAAGAATTACCGAGTCAACTCCCTACTGAAACGACTGGACTGTTAGGTCAAAAAAATTTCAGTACTACAAAATAAAGCTGTTTATTTAAAGTTGTCGCACTTTGCGTTAACTTCACGTAATACTGAATTACAATAAGTAAGAAACTGTAGTTAGAGTTACAGATCTACGTAATTGAAGTTCAGTTGATGACTGTGCTTACCATCTAATCTGATAAGCTAGATAGTTTTGTCGCATCCATGTGCATTTATCAGTTCAACTGCACCTGCAGTTACAAATATTTGGGCGTACTACTAGACAGCTTAGCCAAAGTGTTAGTGGTTTAACAAAGACAGACAAAAACAATCCATAACTCAATTTTTCACATTTAGTTAATAGTGGTCACGCATTGGAGAAAACGACAGCTTTCAAAGTAATTTATCGTATCCCACCGAATCTTTCCAATAGACTTTGTATTCGTTTACTGCACACAGCGAAGGCGATAGGTATTCGAACTATTAAAACTAGACTATGCATTCAGAATAAGTTCGCGCAACCATTATTCTTCCCTTGGCCTATTAAGACATAACCAACTGATGACTTCTCCACCACTCCTTACTTATATTTTCAACCCCCCTCCTCATATCACCCCTTGATCTTTTCACATCTTCAATAAAAATGTGTCTCATTTACCTCCCTTACATTCTAGCATTACTTAATCGGTGCATTTGTTTTTCTTAGCGTTTATCGACTACTTCTACCTGAACATTTGTTTGTTTAATCATGTTGTTTTTCGTTATTCGTGTTATTACCGATTGCCTCACTTTTTCATCCTCATTATTGATAAAACCACTATCATTATTATCACTACTACTTTTATGACTTATTGCACAATTTATATTCACCATCTTATTATCCTATAGAGAAAACACCATGATTGGTTTATATGTGAATTTAATTTGTAAAGTTATGTATATTACAGTTAAGCCTGATGACATCCAAATGATACCAGTATTGTTCGCCTCAATGTGTTTTTGCCTATGTAAAAAAGTTAAACATACAAAGTCAAAAGGAAAAGTCGCATGATGAAAAAGTGTTAAAATGTTATAACTCACCTTGAAATGTGGAAAGAAAAGATAAATAATGTACAAAAATGGCAGCAATGAAAGAAAAATAATCACAAACTGTAGCCTTTGCAATCCTTCAAAATCTCGAATGCAAAACATTAAACTATAAAACAGATTTTCCATTTGATGTTGACAATTTGGATGAGCGACAAACTGAAATGCAAAATAAAACGTCACAAGTATCGAAAATTCCGGGTTCCTTCAGTTGAAAATAAAACAAACATTTAAATGGAAAATGTAAGAAAATAAACGGCCATTGAAAATTTACTAGGCAAACACAATTTGTGAAGACTGAACCCCAGTATAAAATCTTACTAAAACCGGCAACAAAATTTCCTTTTTAGTTAACGTATTCATTGATGCAGCCAGAGTACAAACACTTTCTAAGAGTAAACTACTAACTGCGTGGTCGTCTGCGACGTGATATGCAAGACAATTTCCCGCTGAATATAGTAACTCATTTTCAGCTAAAATGATGAAAATTAAGAATCTCAGTCAACATCATTTATACTTGCAGTAATGTTTGTATCAATGACTTCAATATGTATGCAATATATTTCTTACACTGATGATTCGAACAGAAGTCGTATGATTTATCAGTAGATGAATAATCAAAAGAAACTACTTATTTGAGTTGAAAAGATTGTAAAATCCGACCACCGACTGTTGTTGTACTTTAAACCATTCAACAAGTTGTGATGGATGTGTGAGTGGGTTGGCAGACATTAGAAATTAATAGGGAATTTTCAAGGCATGAGTTTTGACTAGAATTATTCCAAGAGTACACCTTTTAATTCTTCGAGCGGATTGAATGAAGCAAACAGTAGAAGTGGTCACCTAGGTTACTGGATTGTTTGCGTCAGTATCGAGAGACATGAAAATAAGTGATTTTCCTTTCCGTAGATTTACTCTTAACTCTCAAAGTTGTACTGTAGGTTAGTTTTGTGACTGAATTATTACATTTGATTGATGGACTTTAACCAGTGCACTGACTGTAGTTTTTTTTGTTTGGTTTTGAATAATGCGGTTACACTGCATTTATGCTAATCGAATAATCCTTTTGAAAGTGGTTAAAGAGAATACATTATTTTAAATTGGCTGATTTTCTTTTTAGTATTAAGAAAAGAAATAGGTTTTGATACATTTTTCAAAAAAAGCATTTCAATAAAAAGGACTTGTTTCGTTTTTTTCCTACAAAAATGTTTGTAGTTAAACATGATCGATCTTAGTCAATTTATTTCGTATGATGAATAGACGCATCAGTTAGGAATCTATCTCATGTTACCAGTACTTAACTGGAACATGGATTTTTCAATATAATGGCCTTGCCTTTTATACATACAGACTTACGTATTGAAATAAAATGGGAGATTTGTAGGTCAGGTGGGTGATTTTAATGTGTTGATGTTTTCTAAGCTGTGTGATTCAATCACTAAGCTTTTGTCTCCCTTCTAGATATCGTCTTTAGCGCAAGTTCACTTCATATTAAAGCTATTGTTGAAGATGTTTTCTAGAAGGACAGCAAAAGCTTCGCGATTAAATCACCCAGCTCAGATAACGCCAACACATCACATTTTCTAATTTATCGCGTAGCTTGTAGGTGAGAATTACTGACATAGAATTTAGTCAGAATACACTTACTAATCATCTTGCAGGGTGTTTGACAAAGAGTATAGTTATTTTTTCATGTTTGAAGTGTAAGACCCACTAAGCTACTCACAATCCGTCCGGTTTTTCATTGTTTCAATACACTAATATCTGGGAGGAATGATCGTTCTATAATGTCTGCGAGCAATTTATCTGTTCATGGGTGCTGATAGACTTCAGAATATTCAAATGAAGCTTGACTATGTAGCCTAGTAAGGCAACAACGTGAGAAATTTCAGTAATTCAATAATAGATTGAAGTTTCCAGTGTAGACGAAAATCCGTCACGATATTCAGAAAATTTTCGGTATCACTTTGAAGAAAAAGCATTTTTTAGCAAGCAACAAACTTCGTTAAACTATAAGTTATAGGCAGTGTTAGCTTGCATTTTTTTCAAATTTTCCAGAAAATTTACTTCTACTTTTACTGCTCAACCTTTTCACTTCTCAACCTAAAATTACGTTCCTGTGGTGAAGTAGTTTAAGTTTTCAGAAACTAAAACGCACCTTATATTTTGCCGTCGATTATAACGAAGTTAAAATTATCAGGCCTAGGAATGTATAGTTTTTCGTTTCATATGACTGGGTAAATTAAAGGTAGATTACGGCAATAAATGCTCTGAAAATACCTGTACTTAATTAACTGTCAACATTTCGGCCTCTTCAGAACTTTCTGTTTTGAACGCGACTCTACTTGTTGAATCAATACTGGAGATGATTCAACAATCACCGCAGATATTTTTAAAATTATTGTGCCAATAACAGTGAAGAATATCAATTTTAAAAAATATAAAATTTGTAATTCTCCAAAACTGCTGACTGAGAGTGTATGGACAACCTTGTAACCCACTAAAAGGCACTCCATAGAACAGACGAAATAGAGATCGGCTGCTGAAGCCCTATGTCCCACTCCAGACCCAAAGAAATAATAATAATACTGACAGAGAACACATTGTGCCGCCATTCGTATTTGGTAAAACAAGTATGATTGCGATCATAAACATTTCTCCTGTTTATCACGTTCACATTTATTTTTTGATATCACGTTATCGTGTACTGTAACACTGAGTCATTATCCAAATCATGATAAGTACTTTTGTGGTAAAACTAGGGAGATTTTATGATTTCGTATACTACTTGAAGTTATATAAAAACTATATTTCGTTTTAACTTCCACCAAAAAAATAAAATAAATAAAAGTTAAGGACAGCTATATAAATGATTATTAGGTATTTATCTTTATACTCTGAGTGCAATTTATCCTACGCCAACGACTTAATGGTTATCTAGATTACTTTCACAAATTTGCTACACATATCACGATATAAAAGATGGCTTTCATGTGAAAAAGTTACTTTTACGAAGTTGCTTGAAAGTGGAAGACCTATGTGAAAACTACAATAGAACAGTACATCTTTAATCTAGCAGTTATTCTAAAGAGGAAAAAGACACTCAGAACTTTCATTGAGTTATTCCTACCACAGTGTTTCTTTTTACTTCTTAGTCTTGAACGGATTATACGAATGTATGTTTAACTTTTATTATTTACTTGGTAGTTACTTTAAGCGCTGCATACCACGAGTATATCGAACATTTATGATAGTATTGGTACGGTTGTATTATCTGAGCTGGATGGTTGTTTGGGACGCTGTCACTGTCTTTCTAGACAACATCAGCAGCAGAAGTAAGCGTATACGAATTCGCCATAAATGACTTAACTGTCTCTCTTGGCGACCTCAGTTACGACTATAAACATTCTTAAGAACATTTCATAACTTCTTGTATGATTATAGCTGTTACTGTTCACCACGCATACACATATCATAGCTTCCACTACCAAATACTGAAATATTATCCATTACTGGTGTTTATCTTCCTTTCTACTTGGTATTTTTATTTGCATTTTTTTTTATTTTTGTGTTTCTTTTTGGTTTTTGTTGTTGTTTTCTTATATTTATTTTTTTTGTAATACTCCTTTTAAATGTCCGATGAAATTAGATGCAGTATTGTAGATATGTGCTGAAAATTGCACACTATATCACTAGTACTGTTTCTGGAATAAAAGCAAAATTATTATTATTACTATTTAATCATTCACGGAGAATTCAAGAAAGTTCACTTCATGCTGAAGTGTGCACTGTAGATAATGCCTAGAAAGACAGCGAAAAATTGCTGCTAATAAACCATTCAGCTCAGAGAATGCAACTACCCCAATAACATCCAGCTGACCTTCTGTTCTTCTCAATTGTAAAATATCGTTGCATTCATGATGAAGCAATTATGAAGTAGTGAACATCCAGGAGTAATGTATCCTAAAAGACTGTTATGATACTGTAGTTTCCCAACAGAAAAGTGGGGATTTTTTGGTGGTGGTACTTCATTCCTCTAATTTTTTCCACTGAATTATAGACTTAATACTCAAATATTTTTGAAATTTACTTTCCATTACTCAAGTTATGAATCCAAACCAAGACTTCACTGAAGTCATCTGGCTTTCAGTTTGGTTTGATAGACTTATTGCGCAATGCAGGAAAACGGATGACTAGCGAAGAGTTGAACTTGGATTAAGAAATACAATTCTCTTATTCCTAGTCAGATAAAAGACGTTATGGTTTGTTGTAAAGAACATCCATCCACAACATTCGTAGGTACAAAGTGTGAACTTTTATCATCGTATTAGTCTCTAATTTGCTTAATCGACGGCTTTCAGAAGAAATCAGTATAAATGAAACTGATCTATTTAAAGTAACAAACGTCTGGGCTAATATTTTTAGTTTATTTTTGTTTTTACAAGAATGAAGTATTTAAGGATAAAAAAGTTCACTGTTTGCTAACAACAATGACGTATTATTGTTTCCTTTAGTTCCTAGAAGAATAAAGGGCTTCAGTCACACGTCTCCATTGCGTTCGGTTCTCCAACAACGTTTTGACCTGGCTCCACGTCTGTCCACATGCTTACATCTCCCCTTCACATGACCTCCTCCAAGTCACCCTCACACTGACGACCAACTCGCCTCTCCACATTCCGGTTCCATTCGAGGGCTTCTCTAGTGATGTTACTTGATGGTTTCTTCAGAGTATGGCCAGCCAATCCATCTCCATTTCTTCCTGCATATTTGTTTCACAATCGGTTCCTGGTTGGTTGGTTCGCTCTTTATTGCCAGAGATTCCACCCTGTTGCTGATCTTTTCTGGCCAGTCATCTGATCTTGAGTAGTATTGAGCGAAAACAGCTGTTAATGAAGCTCTTTAGTTTGTTCGAAGTGGCCTTCGTGACGCAGAGCAAAGTCTCTGATCCGTATAGTAAGTAGCACTGACTTCACATTATATAAAGTATAATAGGTCTCTCTAAACTAGCATTTTCTTAGTTTTAGGTGTTAACTGACACTTGGGACATGCTAGCCGTTTCCGGGCTCAGTAATAATGTTGTTTGACAATAAGAATAGTTGGCTAGAAATAACTAAATCAGTTATGAGCATGCTGCTCATCGTCAGCAAGATATGTTCTAAACTTTAGAGAAACAAATAATAAGAATTATCCCACCTGCTCATAGCCGTATGATGGTGAATAACAGCGTCATACAGAAGATAAATTTTCTAAAGGCACAAACCATATTGACACTAAGAATCCTTTTGTATCTAGCGGTGAAATTATTGACAACTGGTATACAAAATTTCGAAACTAATTAGAGGTTGTGTTAAATTCAAATAGGTACAAAATTGTCCTTTTTTCAGAATTAAGCATGACATAATCTGCAGGCTGAAACACTGAATCAAATATCAGAGCAATGTTTATGCACAACCAGCATTTGATACAAGGATGTCTAGTACATAGAAAAATAAAAATCTATAAAGTCGCTTATTCGAATCATTATCAGGGACTCTTCATAATTAGCTAAAAATGCAACATTCCGATGTTGATAACTGACAAAGAAACTAGGCCAACATCACTAAATTATGTTGCGCTGTAATATGAATTGTATAATTATAATGTATGTGCTAAGATATAGGTTGTCGGTATGAGAAGTGTATTTAAAAGATTCAAAATATAACTTAAAATTTACTTTTTTCTCAGAAAAAAAACAGTAAGACATCAAACAATTTGAAAAGCGGTATGTTGGCAAGACTGTAGTAACTTACTCAACTTCTTTTTACTTCATTAGTTCTTTACTACAGAGATTTAAGTATAGTCTAAAGTTTGAATGAATGAAATTAATATAATATCCTATTTGGTTCAGTCACAGAACAATAATAACTGTCATTAAATTGAACATTCTTTTGATGGCGTTTGGAAGAGACGCGTTTCAAGGTATTTTCAAAATAAATTGTTTTAATGCTTACATATGAAGTTTGTTTGAAATAGTATAGAAAGAGGATTATTTAAATTAAATCCAGTATGTTTAAGAAAATCAAAACAAGATTTTTTTTGAACTTTTTGCTGAGTAGGCCACAGGTTCCTTGGTAGAATAATTCGGAATTTATTAATCATCAAAATATATAGAAAAATCTTGACCGAATTATTCTGCTGAAGAAGCTGTGTTTACACAGAGAAACGTTCAGAAAAATCTTGTTTTGATTTTCTTAAACATTCTGGGATTAATTTAAGTACTTTATGATGAATCAATCTGACTCGGCGCTCAAGTTATTCCAGGAAGTTCATAACACCTATGGTCTGGAAACTTATAATAGAAACAAGATTAGTTTGCCTAAATATCAGAGAGTATTGCGGGCATTAAGTGACGTCGAAAGTACTAGTATGAATCGATTCAGTCCAGAAATGGCATCGTACACTCTCCAAAGAAAACCAGCTAAGACAACGACGGTTTGCAAAATAGCCAAAAAACCCACTGACCTCTTTATTTTTCCTAATTGCCAATGAGAATATTAAATTAAATATGTAACTTAATGCAATTAATCTCAAAGCCAAGTGTTCTTCAAACTAACCCTGGTAATAGGACATAAAGCAATAAACAACCGCATGCTAAATACACAGGTAGAATTATGCGTTTCATTTGTTACTAGTTCTTTAAATAGGTACTGAAATTACTTTTGAATCAAGACTGGAAAGATAGTAGAGACTATTTGTAAACACAGGTCATTCTGCTAACCAAATTGTAGATTTTAATAGTGCCTTTCCCACTATAAACGGCATGCACTTACTAAAATGTTTATTTTAAAAAATGAAACGTGTTTCTCCTTACACAGAACTGTGAGAACCTGATAGCTTACATTTATTGCGAAGCAGGAAAAATATGGTATGATTAATGCAATTAAGTTATTATTTTACGGAATAAAGAACAAATTCGAAAAACTTGCGTATCCAAAAATTACTACTACGTCCAACTTTCCTAAACAGATTATTTTTATCTAGAGAAAACCTGTCGCAACCTAATGAAGCGATATCTTGTGTATCTTTCGAAAGTGAAGTTTACAAAATTTAATGCAGAACTGAATAACCATCTAGGTTATCAAATTTTGATTATTTTCCAAAAAACACGTCTTAAAAGTGTCAGTAGACAGTTCAACGAATACATTCAGCATATTGGCTGGAGGATTTCATGATGAGCCAACATCAGTTAAAGAACCATTGGAAAACCTGAGAGAACTGGACAGCCCCAGTTTGCGACTCTTCAGTAACACGCACCTACCACCAGGGTTCTAATCCAGAACCTTCCAGTCAAAAGGCAAGCCCGTAGAACATTGAGCCACTGGGACCCAATCCAATTGCTCGTGAATTCTAACTTCTGCCAATTCATGACAAAGCGCAACCACTCTGCAATGTCTTCTTAGATGAGTTACTTCCTCACTTTCGACCTGCTTCATCCTACTGGTCACGGCTTTCCACTAGAACCCCAGCTCGCCTTGTAACCAGAAGGTCCTGAGTTCAAACCCTGGTGGTGGGTGCATTGTGTGAAGAGTCCTAAACTGAGACGAAACAGCTGTTCAGTACTCCCAGGTTTTCCACTGGCTCTCTCACTGATATCAGGTCATGATGAAATCCTCCAACCAATCAAACAAAATCCCTACGAAAATCAGTACTTAAACATTCAACATATATTTGTTTTACTTTAAATTAATCATCTGGTTTCACTCAAAACATTGGAAATTTCCAAATCTAGCGTGAAGAAACATGTGCCATTTTATGAATGTCTTCAATATTTAACTTTGTGGGAAGCGTAAATCAGATAGAATGTGAAAAGAATATTGACGTGTTAGCCTAGAAATAGCCGCTCACTCTTCATATGAAAAAGCTATTTAGTTATTTATTAGAATATGTCAACTTCAGATAAGAAACCTTTTACTGAAAATAAGGAGAGGATGTATGGCTTAAGTTGATGTTTGGCTGTTTCTGAGTTGTTAGGGCTGGATGGTGTAATATGTTTCGCATTTATTATAGTTCTAGTTTGCCTAGTGAGATAATCACAGCTACACAAATAATTGATGAAGCTCATGTAGGATGGAAATACCGTAAAACAACAATAAATAATTGTAAAAAGTCAGTGGAATGCTGAAGTAATTTACAGTTTACATCTCAGACTAAACTGAACTCACTTTCTTTTCATGTGATTGAATAGCATTCTTGATTGTATTCACAGGATTTCCTCGTTCGTGTGACTTTGTATTTAATGTTCCACCTAGGAGACAATGCAGTTCATCCGATGTTCGACACAGGTCAACACAGCTAATTGCGAAATCCATACATTTGACAGCCAACTCAGAATATTCTTCCTATAGAGGCAGTGAAAAAATTTGTCATTTTTAAGTTAACTGTGCGCAATACTTTTGTTAATCCTAATCAGACCAAGATACATTTAAACAGATAACCGTTTTGGTTAATCTTTTTTAGAAGCTACATTCATGATACTGTGGCCAGTAGAAGGCAGTGATTAGGATTTATTTCGTGAAAGTAGGTTTAGGCTTCAGAAATTAACTTTTTCTATCTAGCTTATTGTTCAGATTCAGATTGCAATGAAAATCATGACCATTTGGATGACGTTAAAAGCACAGCTATGAACCATTAATTTACCTAAAAGCTGAGTAAAATGGTTAATGCTCACAAGAAAATTAAAACTGAGGTAGCTGCTGTGTATTACTTCTTAGCCATGTCTCAGATCATCACTGATGGAATACGGTATGTTGCTAGGCTATTCAGACACACTTAAACATTTGTGTTCTACGTCTTTTGAAAGACTTAGCAAAGTGTTTTATACTGTCAGACATTGATCACTAAGTAGGTAATTCGAAGGTATATGATCTGGATAGCACCGTGAATTAGTCTTTCATCTGATTTATCACAATTCCATAGCGATATAGCTAAACTTTTATATAACTGTAGATAAATTTCATATAGCATAGAAATGGTTAAAACATTAACCAAGATTTAACTAGACCTGAAGATGGTAGGAACATATACGTAAATCTAGATGTAGTATTTTGTAAATCTCATGATAAAAGCAGTTATAAATCTTAACGGATGATTAATGATCACCACTGGTATTGGGGTATGCGTGATTAGGATACAACTAATAATAAAAGCCAACTTAATTAAGCAGGAGAAAGGTAATGTAAAACAGTAGCTCAGTGGTAACGTCTCTGAGTGTAGCAGTGGGTGACGCGGGTTCGAATCACAGAAGGGACATAAGTTCTTTCAAGGCTGCAGATACGCCTTGATGACGAGCGCCACCTAGCGTGAAACCTGAAGGCTTCCTGTCGATTGCCTACAACTATTTAATATCATCAAATCAATATGCACCATGATAGTGGGTTGCCTAGAATGGTGGCCACACTGCGAACTTGACTGACAGAATTCAGTCTGCACCAGAAAAAGGACCAAACAAATCGCACTAGTTACTAGTGTCCAAACAAACAGCAGGATCAAATGATGACCATGTTAATTAGAGGTTGAGTGCTTTATCCTGTTAGAACGAACAGTAATGTTACAAGTAAAACCTTAATTGTATAAGTTGTGGTTATAGCTGCTTTAACGAATTACTAAGTATTGAGTTTATGACAGAAGAGTTACCTAATTTTACTATACTAGTCCCCACCTTCTGTGTAAACCAGACAGGCTAATAGTATTTATGGCTACCTACATTTTCAAGGGTATATGTGGATTTATTTCTCTTCATGTGCTTTATATGGACAATCAGGCACGCAGTTATCCCAACATAACTGTATCTATGAGGCCACTGTGGATATTTTTTATCTCAAAAAGAGAAGCGTAGAAATTAAATCTATTATTTCATGGATCAGAGATGAAAAAAATTTATATGCATTCATGGTTTGTTAAAATCAACTTCCAGGAACACATATTTTAACTATCTAGTAACCATTCAGAAAGTATGCATTGTCTTAATATTATTATTTCCTTTATATCCTAGAGGAACATAGGGCTTCAGCCGCGCGTCTCCATTGCCTTCGGTTTTCTGCCAACGTTTTCACTCCGCTACAAGTCTGCCTACATGCTTACATCTCCCCTTCACATGGCCTCCTCCAAGTCACCCTCACACTGACGACCAACTCGCCGCCCGCTCCCTTTCGGCCTGGTTCCACTCGAGCGATGGCTTGTCTAGTGATGTCACTCACTTGATGGTTTCCTCAGAGTATGGCCAGCCAATCCATCTCCATTTCTTCCTGCATATTTGTTTCACAATCGGTTCCTGGTTGTGCTGTTCGCTCATTATTGACAGAGATCCCACCCTGTTGCTGATCTTTTCTGGCCAGTCATCTGATCTTGAGCTAGGTATTGAGCGAAGACAACTGTTAATGAAGGTCTGTAGTTTGTTTGAGGTGTTCTTTATGACGCGCAGTGCAAGTCTCTGATCCATCCGTATAGTGAGTAGCACTGACTGACTTCACATTGGAGTTGAAAATCCGGATCTTATTTTTGATGGTGAGTGCTGTTGACCCCACACAGACTTGAGAGTAATGAAAGCTTGTCTTGCTTTCCCGATGATCCTCGTTTTGATATCCTCGTCAGTTCCGCTGGCCTGTAGTTGAAACGATGCTTCCCAGGTAGGTGGGTAGGTGAAGGAGGTCGCTTCTTTCAGATTTCTCTTATTCATGCTAGCTGAATGTTGTCTGTTGTTGTTGTTGCTGTTTCGCTTGGCCAGGATTCTCCATGGCCTCTGTTCTCTCTATGTTCACCTGAAGTCCTATCTTCTCTGGATGCTTGTTCTGCCGACTTGTTGCTTTTCACTTGCATATCTTTCAGTTTGTGGGAAATCACACAGATATTATCGGCGAAGTCCAGATCCTCCAAGTCTCTGTTTGTGTGAGTCCATTGTATGCCCGTTTCCTCATTGCCGGCTGTTTGTCACATTATCCAGTCTACAGCAATCAGGAAAATCATTGGCGATAGTAGACAGCCAGCTTGACTCACTCCCGTCCTCACTTGGAAGCATTCTGTGAGTTTCCCGTTGTGGATTACCTGGCATGCAACAGCAGATGAGAAAATAAACATAATCAAAACATCTCAAAAAGAGACAACACCACAATGATACCAGCTTTGATTACTTTCAGCTGCTATTTTGTTGAAAGTAGAGGGTATGAATGAAAAGACTTCCGTAACAGGTAGGTGACATTACATAACAGTGTCAAACAGCATTTACTACTTTCTTACGTAGAGCACAGATTTCTAATAAAACTGATAATGTTATTGATTTTTTATATTTGGTAGTGATATTCAATTGACTGTCTTTCTCTGGCTTAGTCTGTGTTGATTTCTTTGTGTATGGAGACTTGATTGTCTGGAGTAGAAGTTAAGGTCCCACTCACCTGTAGCCTATTCCACTTCAGTTTTCTGTGTGTCATGGAATCGGATGTCTACGTCCGTGTGGCTATTCTTCACGACTTTGTTTTCTTTGTTGTAGATTGAACTATGGTGGTGTTTCCGTTGTCCATCATTGAACTGTCCCATTTTTACTTGATTAGGCACGTCTGTGTTATTTGTTAGCTTTGACGCGTAGGTGGTGAGCCACTACTACCCATCTTACGTCCTCTTCGTCTTCTTCGCAAGGCAGCTGAGCAGGTTTCTTTTGGGATAACTTTCATAGAGTGTTGGTGTTTATGCACACAGGTTTGATTTGTGGTGTTAATTAATGTTTTCGACTTTGTTGTGATGGCTGGAGTGAATGTGTCTATATACCTGCGTCCTTCTGTTTTTCGGTGTTAAGCCTGAACTTTGGTCTATCTCCAGCTTGTCTTAATGCTTACAAAACCAATAGGAACTAAATATATTTGATTAGTCGCTCCATTTAGACTTGAGATGCTTCATCAATGTAGCCATATGACTTTAAAATGAGAATCACTAATGTCCAGCAACTTTGTACAAAATGATAAACTCATGATTTTGACACTTATCACATAAGATATAACCCATCCTTGTGTCAGTCTAAAACTGCACAGGTTCACCGCTTATAGTGCTTAGGTTTGAGGTTTATTCGTTTTTTTCCTGATGATAAGTCGTGAAATGTTGGTTCTAATGAACCAAATATTATCGAAATCGGTCCATAGTATGAAACATTGATAGAGTTTCATCAAAACGGAAGGGATTTAAAAAAAAATTAAGGTTATGGATTTTCCCTCACTAATTCAACACTGAGTTGTTAGACTGGTTTAAGTGGCAGTTCTATGTTTAATCAGGTCGCTGAAGAATTTGGAACCAGAAAAAGAAACCCATAATCAGTGCTGAGATTTTTTAAAGATTAATCTAGTTCCTGTTTATTTACTGTTAAGTTTACCTTGCAACTAGTGTTGAAACATTGAAATCTGAAAAAAAAATTTGAAATAAAGCGAACTGTAGGTGTTTCATTTTTGTTACCTAAAGACGTATGCATAATTTACAATAAATTTGGCAAAATTCTTTATTAGTTGGTTACAAATGAAAAATTCACGAAGCTACATACTTTAAATTGTTTCTCCTGGGATGCTAGTTGATAAAGTTCATTCCTTAAAATGAATGCAGTTGCCACTGGATCAGATGTAGTCAAAGCCAAATAAGCTGAACTTGATAAAGCCTGATAGGTATGCAGACGCTGTTGCTCCAGTATGAGTGAATCCTTTTAAAATGAACAACAAACAAAATATCACTGTATTATATAACTTTCATCAGGTTCTGCGATTTTTGAAGTAAACGTTGGTCATCACTAAGGAAGGAAAGAAAGACCGAATTTTTAATATAAAACAGTACCATCATATTTCATAGGTTCTCATCAGCTGCGAACTACCTGGAATTACAATTATTATAAATAATGACTAACATGCTTCAATGTTTGAATACTAGTAAAAAAAGCAGCATAAGAACAACGCATCTAAAATATAAGCATTGCAATTTGTGGCTTAAGTTACCATCAATTTATACGCTTTCAAAATAGAAAAGGAAGGAGGCAGAGAAGACAGAAAATTCTAATAATCAGTGTTAGGTAGTAAGTGCACATAGTAACTCAAGAAGGCTTTATTACATAGGATTAAAAACTGGCTGAGTCAGCTGAAATCACCAATATGGATGACTAATCAGTGTAATCAAGGTACAGTTACCAAGGAAGGGATAGATTGATTACACTGTCTTTTTGTATGCATAAATTTGGTCTGTAACGCTTGATTGCAACTGCTGTCCTTTGTATGTTCAACATTTTGAAGTATTTCGAAGTAGAGACGAAATGACCCATATCCACAAGTTGCTTGGTAATTGCGCTGTGCAAATATCTGCTTCCTTTTAGACAAATCTTCTTGGGATAGGCTCTGAAAACCGGAGAGAAGCTTTTCTTCCTGTCATTCCAATATACTTGCTCCCGCAGATTCACGTAGACTTTATGAACTGTAGTCTTTTTGAGTTATTAAAAAGACGGTTGCAGTGAAGAAAATTTTCTTTTCGTCGAAGTTATCAACTAGGCTGTACATAGGTGTATTTATATTACATATGTGGGAAGGTTCCAGAATTATTTCCGTTCAGAGGTCAGATTAATAAGATTACTAAGTGTAATAAACAGAAGATAGGTTGTGGCACTATTCTAGAAATATTTCAGGTTAAAGGTCAAATTAAAATTACAATGTGTATTAATTTTCTTTTTTTTTGATTATAGCTTGATTCCACACCGTATTTTTTGGTACAGGTAGGAAATATTCAGCATATGATATCGGTAGCCCAAATTTTGCATGCCGACCATAGATATCTGGTGTGCGTCGGTCGGGGATTGAACCCCGGACCATGTGGATGGTCGGTGAGAGTCCTAACCAATGTGCCACCGAAGCAAGAAAACTGGTCGGAAAAGACAAAACAGATTATAATTACTAGAAAACTAGTCAATTTGTATAATTATGGGTTAAGGATGTAGCACTAACGAAATGGATAGCACGTTCGGACTTATAAAAATAAAACGGTAACCAAATCCGATAATGCAGATAGGGATTTAAAAGGTAAATTTAGTAAACAAACGGAGAGGTTGGACAAGAAAGGTAATAGGGTAATCATTATTGGTGAGGATGACTTCTCATGATGGCCCTGATAGCGACAATGGTAGCACTGGACGTGTTTCTTTTGGATACATAGAGTAGTGGGCTTGATTTCTGGACCTCAAGTGCCTAAGGAATTCCTAGATGTATTGATTTCACTCCATTTGGTAGTTTGGATCGGAATTTACCAGATGCTCTGTTATCTAACTGTGTACCTCTTTGCGTTCTCCCTTTGCTGGCCATGCTGGATGGTGTTTCTGCGCATATTTTACAAGCGGACGCATGTATTCAGCTCTATACGCGCAAGTCAACTTGTTTATGCATTTTAAAGTAGCCCAATGCGACAGCTCGTCTTTTACGTGTTGAGTGAGTTGTTTCTTGCAGAAGGATGTTATTCGTAGATTAGTGGCTGGTATGCCTTACTGAGAGATTTCAAAGCCGTCTACGGAGAATTTCTGCTTTGGTATCACTTTTAAATTCGAGGTCCAATATTAGCATCTTTTTAGGGGCAAATTGAACCTTTTCAGGTATTTTCCTTGGTTTCAGATTCTTGTCTATGAATCTGGGTGGAAACCCATTTTCTATGAAGGCCCCTCGGAGATTTTGAGTTGGTATGTGAACTAACTACCTAACACTGATCATTAGAATTTTCTGCCTTCTCTGCCTCCCTCCTTTTCTATTTTGAAAGCATATAAATTGATGGTAACTTAAGCCACAAATTGCATTGCTTATATTTAGGGTGAGTTTTGTTCCATGATATTTCTCAACTTCCTTTCGAACATTGAAGTATGTTATTGTCATTATTTACGACCACTGTGATTACAGGCAATTTGCAGTGGATGAGGACCTGTGAAGTAGATCGATATCACATTTTGTGCTACACATGTGGACTTCCTTTCTTCATTGAAATTTATCAAGGCAACCGAATGTATGAAATTCGTGATCAGTTCTGAAAAGATTTTCTGCATAAATGGATTGTTTTTTCATTTCATTAAGTTGTGTGAGTATGATAGTGAGTGTGAACGACAACTTACTAGTATTTAAGTCTATTGGTAATAGCTCCTCGATGAATTTATTAGTGAATGTACGAATTCTTCCTGAAGATGTTATCTGGTTGAAGATTTAAACCTAAGCTCACAGGAAACTTGTGTCAAAATATTTACTTATCGGGGTGAGATGACTGGTGGTTATTTCATTACTTACACTCAAAATATTATAATCTAACGACATCCGTTATGTCAAGCGTTTAAATGCGTTGAAATAAGACAAGCAAAAAACATAGATAAAAGTTTTGCTGCAAATTGACACAAAAACATCTGTATCATACTATAGTGCATGGAAGTATTGTATTTCTTATGGGGCAAGTGGTTAAAGCTGATCAGAGCTAAGAATTATCAAAGCATATTGTGCAGCATCCGACGACTGATGTGAGTACACAGTCATCGATTCGCGAGGTGTGATTCGTTATTTATCAGAATATTAGTAATGCAGTTTTATAGTACTATTGTATTTATAGTATAAGGGACAAAGCCGAGGCACAAATCAACACTAGCAAAGAGGTCGGCGTCGAAAAGCTTGAAAACAGTGTGGAATCAAACCTGCATGGAAGTTCTGGGCACAAACAAGAGACAGGACAAACAGTGGCTCACTATGGACACTTGGAAACTAATAGAAGAGAGAAGGATAGTGAAACAAAAGATTATCCAGCGCAATGACGAGCAACAAAAACAGGAGCTGAATGCAAGCTACAATACACTGAACAAAAGAGTGAAGAAGAGTGCCAGGGAAGACAAAAGAAAATGTTATGAAGCCATGGGAAGTGAAGCAGAACAAGCTGCAGTGCAGGCAAAGGAGACCTCGCCACACTCTACCAAACAACTAGGCACCTATCGGGAAAACGTTCGACACATATTAGCCAGTAATGGATGACAATGGAAGTCAATCACCAAAGAAGTGGAGCAAAGAAAACACTGGGCTGAACACTTCAAAAGACTTCTCAATCGACTGCCACCTACAACGCGCACAACAATACCAATAATGGAAGCAGAACTACCAGTGAACGTCAACCCACCCCCGACGAAATCAGAAGTCCTGAATGCAATGAAGATGCTAAAAGCTGGGAAAGCACCAGTACCAGATGGAATCCCAGCAGAAGCATTGAAAATGGACCCAGAGACAACGGCGGACTTGATGATGCCATTTCTGGAGAAGGTGTGGAAAGAGGCCAAAGTACCTGAGGATTGGAAGGAAGGATACATATTCAAACTACCGAAGAAAGGAGACTTCAGTCAATGCAAAAACGGGCGCAGAATTATGCTCCTGTCCATCTCAAGCAAATTACTAAGCCGCATCATCCTGGAGAAAATCAAACACGATCTGGATGAAAAATTTCTACAGGAACAAGCTGGATTCAGGAGAAACAAGTCATGTATTGATTAAATCGTCACTCTACGGATCATCACTGAAAAAAGCTTGGAATGGCATTCAGTCACCTCTCCACCTCACTCAACTTCATCGACTCAGAAAAGGCCTTCGATAGTGCAGCGTAGATCAAGAGGTGATTTGGCAACTACTTCGCTACTACCAAAGGGGTCCCATCGACAATTATACACCTCATCAAACAGTTATACGACAATGCTGCATGCCAAGTAATCCACAATGGGAAACTCACAGAATCCTTCCAAGTGAGGACGGGAGTGAGTCAAGCTGGCTGTCTACTATCGCCAATGATTTTCCTGATTGCTGTAGACTGGATAATGTGACAAACAGCCGGCAATGAGGAAACGGGCATACAATGGACTCACACAAACAGAGACTTGGAGGATCTGGACTTCGCCGATAATATCTGTGTGATTTCCCACAAACTGAAAGATATGCAAGTGAAAAGCAACAAGTCGGCAGAACAAGCATCCAGAGAAGATAGGACTTCAGGTGAACATAGAGAGAACAGAGGCCATGGAGAATCCTGGCCAAGCGAAACAGCAACAACAACAACAGACAACATTCAGCTAGCATGAATAGGAGAAATCTGAAAGAAGCGACCTCCTTCACCTACCCACCTACCTGGGAAGCATCGTTTCAACTACAGGCCAGCGGAACTGACGAGGATATCAAAGCGAGGATCATCGGGAAAGCAAGACAAGCTTTCATTACTCTCAAGTCTGTGTGGAGGTCAACAGCACTCACCATCAAAAATAAGATCCGGATTTTCAACTCCAATGTGAAGTCAGTCAGTGCTACTCACTATACGGATGGATCAGAGACTTGCACTGCGCGTCATAAAGAACACCTCAAACAAACTACAGACCTTCATTAACAGTTGTCTTCGCTCAATACTTAGCTCAAGATCAGATGACTGGCCAGAAAAGATCAGCAACAGGGTGGGATCTCTGTCAATAATGAGCGAACCAACCAAGCAGGAACCGATTGTGAAACAAATATGCAGGAAGAAATGGAGATGAATTGGCTGGCCATACTCTGAGGAAACCATCAAGTGAGTGACATCACTAGACAAGCCATCGCTTGAGTGGAACCAGGCCGAAAGGGAAGCTGGCGGCGGGTTGGTCGTCAGTTTTAGGGTGACTTGGAGGAGGTCATGTGAAGGGGA